TTTGGCAGAGGTGGCACTGTCTTCAAGGTGGCACACAAGACATGGGCCAGATGTCAAATGTAGTATTATGCCCAGACGTTAAAATATGCAATGTGGGCCACGAAAGTGTCACCCACATTTAAATTACTTTTTGAGTAAAGAAATATTTTAATACACAATGTCATTTCCATCTTCATGTTTGCATCTTCTGATGCCTTAATTTTAATCCAGGAAATAATCAAGATGAAATTATTTAAATTATTAATCAATTGTTTCCTGTATGTTGCAAAATGACAAGAATTAACCAACATTACATATATTTTATTAACCAATCTGTTCATAAAAAAATAAAATAAATCTGCCAATTAGGTTGCTTCAAGAAAAAGCACGCCCATAGCCTGACTAAAACGCAATGCTTCGTGAGTGTATCAATTTCATAATATACCGACTCTGGCTTCTAAAAAATAGCCAAAAGGCACCATATATAGCCCAGCCCAGGCCGAGTTGTAGGTTAGACTTGGCCTAGATATGGTCCATGTTTGGCTCTTGTCTGGGAGCCAGACTTGGTCTAGTCATGTAATTCTCTGTGACAATGCCAAGCAAAAGCCTATTGTGTGTGCCAGAGATGGCCAGAGCAGTGTTACTATGTGGGTTACCTATGTAACCAAGCATTCCCCTTGGTTGATCGCTTATGTCAACTTGTTATGTCCCCTAGTTGATTAAGTTGACATAAGGTCTCTATTCCCTCTTTTGGGAAATGAGCGTTCCCAGGTAGTAAATTATTCTGGGCCAAATTTGGCAGAAAGTCAGCATAGCAGGCATTCATCCAGCATGTGGGTCAAATACGGCTCGGGTTTGGCAGAGGTCTTCATGGCGGCATACAAGACAGTAGTAGTATTATGCCCAGACGTTAAAAATTACAATGTGGGCCACGTAAGTTTGGCCTGTCTTGACACGCATTTAAATTACTTTTTGAGTAAAGAAATATTTCAACACACAAATAATAGATAATAACCAATATTAAATTGTCTGAATTATTAATATATTGTTTCCTGCAAGTTGCAAAATAACAACATTACATGTATTTTATTAACATATCTGTTAATAAAAAAGAAATCTGCCAATTAGGTTGCTTTATGAAAAAGCACGCCCATAGCTTGACTAAAGCGCAATGCTTCATGAGTTTATCAATTTCATGTCACACCGAGTCTGGATTCCATTGTGGGTTATTTACCTAGAAATGGCCTAGATACGGTCCATGTTTGGCCCTTGTGTAGTAGTCAGACTTGGTCCCGTCATGTAATTCACTGCGACAAGGCCAAGCAAAAGCCTATTGTGTGGGACAGAGCTGGCCAGAGAAATTTTACTATGTGATGCTACCTACCAAGGTTAATTACTTCAAGTTATGTCAAGTTGTTATGTGCCCTGGTTGATCAAGTTGACATAACGCCTCTATTCCCTCCTTTGAGGAACGAGGGTTCTCAGGTAGCAAGGAATTCTGGGACAGATTTTTGTACAAGGTTGGCACAGCAGACATTCATCCAGCAAGTGGGTCAAACTTGGCCCAGGTTTGGCAGAGTTCACATCGTCTTCAAGGCGGCACACAAGGCTTGGACCAGGTGTCAAATGTAGTATTATGCTCGGATGTGGGCCACGTAAGTCTGGCAAGTCATTTCCACCTTCCTATTTTACATCTTCTGATGCCTTAATTTTACTCCAGAAAATAATCGAGATTCGGTCATTTGAATTATTAATATATTGTTTCCTGTATGTTGCAAAATAACTGGAACTAACTTTCATTATGTGCCATAATTCAATGCAACATGTAGACCAAGCAAAGCCTATTGTGTGGGCCAGAGCTGGCCAGAGAAATTTTGCTATGTGGTTGAAGACATTCCTCCTCAGTTGATTACTTACTTGGAAGTTATGTCAACTTGTTATGTCCTCTAGTTGATCAAGTTAACATAATGTTTCCATTCCCACCTTAATGTAACAAAGGGTTACCTACTCAATCAAGATGTTACATGAGGCGAACTTAAATATGTGCAAGGTGTAGTCCATGTGTTTGTAATACCACACACTGCAGCGCTGACTTTAGAGCATGTCTATAAACTCATTCCAGCTCTGGGCATAAGCCTCGCTCTGTGGTCTGTCTGCGGCATACCATTTATTGCCTCTGGCACAAACCTCACCTAAAAAAAAAATGTTTTTCCTTCCTCTGGGAGTGGAAGAAGACGAGTGGCCCGTTTGGCTTATTGGTGATGGTGCGCTGCAGGCCGGCCTCCAAAGACCCAGACATATAATAAAAGCCCATCTGCCTCCACCAGACGCTCACTCAACCATTTTTACAACAATTTGTACTCTTCTGTTTTATAGTGGAGACAAATTGGGTTGTGTAAGACCCACAGAGTCGATCCGATGTCACAGTCGGTCCACATTTATTGTGTTTATTTGAATCAGGTTGCATCTGTTACGGAGAGATTCAGACATGCTCTCCTTATTATTTGCTGTCTTGGTAATATGTGTTATTGGATTCTGCTTGACAGAGACGAGCACTGCAGCAGGCAATTGTGTAATAAATACAGAATTTATTATATAAATCCACCTTTATATGCATATGAACTTTAATGGCATCCCAATCTTAATGCGAAGGGTTTAATATGGAGTTGGCCCACCTTCTGCAGCTATAACGGCTTCTGGAAGTCTTCTGGGAAGGTTTTCCACAAGGTTTAGGAGTGTCTTTATGAGAGTTTTTGTCCATATCTTTTAATTATATATAGTGTGTGCTTTGCTTTGGCTTTTATGTGGTTAACTTTTCTCAAGTTACTGGATGTTGCAAAGTAAACAGACAGAACTCTGTTTATTTTGTAGTTTTATTTTAATGCAGTTCAGTGTTATAATCATAGACTGTGAAAGACATGGACGCAATATCCGTGATGTCACCCATAGGTTTCTGAAGAGCGCAAATGAAGCTACAAGTAGGCGTGGCCAACCATTGCCATTTTGTTTGCACTTCATCACGCCAACCGGGGGTTATAAAAAAAGGGCAAAGAGGCGGAGCTTAAACAGGCTTTTTTTGGGGGAGAAACACTTAATACTTAATTACCTGTGACATGTTTGTGTTCTGACCACATGTGCTTGGTTGTGTACTATATCAATAACGTGTTTAGTCTTTTAAAAACCTTGTTGTAATACATTGAGCCACTAAGCATTGTTCTTATGACGTTTTTCTACAGGAGCAAAACGTCAATTACTTCCAAGTACTTTAAATATAGTCTGTGTTAGTAAATGCAAGGCTATCTATGAAATCCAGACATAACACTGTTTGACAACGCTTCAGACGGCTGTTCTAGAGCCTAGAGCTAATCAATCTGTCAGATTCGGGAGTGCATTACAGTTCTAAAGAAAATAATAAATGATAAATGATCTTAAATAAAACAAATAGATTTATATAGATGGTATACAAGTATATAATTTCACTCACCTGGGAAATGGAGGCCACTTGAATGGTTTGTGAGCACAGTTAAGTGCACAGCATGCCGTATTGTCTAATAATTGTTGGAAATAATCCTAAAAAGCAGTTGACTGTGTAAAGCCACATAAAACAAAACAAAAATATAATATATATGCCGAGTTCAGCAGCTAATCAGCCGGAATTAGCTGAGGTGAAGTTGAGGTGGCCAGCGAAACCAAGCTCTCACTCAACTGGCCATGCCCCTTAATTATGCAGACTTAATATAACTTAACATAAACAAAACAGATGAGTTATAAAAAAAAAATTACCCCCAAAAAAATTCAGTTGTTATAAAGAGTAATATTTGCTATATGAACCAAAATCGGTCTTTGTACAAGGCTGTAAGCACCTTTTTTCTGCTCTAAAGTTGACCATTTTAACATTGGGGTCAATAGAAATGTGCTCTATCATGGAGCAAGACCTAGTGGAATTTCGATGAATTGCATTTTCAGTTACTTCCGTATTAGCTTCATGAGGGAGAGCGGGATGTTGCCGCTTGGTTATAAACCTGATCTGTGAACAAGATCCTCTGTTTTGTCGTAACCACGCTGTAAAAAAAACACTGTATTTGACACAACCGATTTGTATTGAGACAACATGAAGAAAATAAGTTAACCTATAGGTTTTTACAAACTTTATTGGATTGGAAATAAAACAATTAAGTTGTCCCAAAAAAAGTTCAAGAATTTAGTAGACTGAAGAAAGAGCGAATGCTATGTTTTTTTGTGTGTGTGTAATGCATCACAGTATTGTACATGATGCAGTAAAAGAATTCAACCTTTTATTCAAAAGTGATTTTTTTTGTATTAGTAATGGAAAGCAAAAGGGTTTTAAAGACACTATGGTTGGTTTATTTATTTTTTATACACTTTTGCAGCCAAACCCTTTGTTTAACTGTATCTGGGGGCTGCTCAAAAGTTTAATAAATACGGCTGTGTTTAAAATGTTCTATATTTTCAAAGAAAATATCCTAAAAATGTCCATGGTTATGTGTGTGAATCAAACAGCACGGCTTTTCATAATTAATTTCTACATCTTTACTATTTCAGCCAGATGCTTAAAGCAACTTTTATATTCTGCGTTTCACATTTGAATTTGAAAGAGTCTCTTAAGAAAGCACTCAGACTGGCAATCAACACTGAGATTCATTCGCCACGGCACAAGTGTCAAACTCAAACCACATCTTGCTGTGTAAAATAAGAAAAAAAGACTCTTGCCTTGTTAAAAACCCGGACCTTTGCACCTGCTTGGTCAAATGCCTTCAGTCGGGACTCAGCGGGACTAAAGATGAGCTTCACCTTGCCATTCTAAACCACAGGACAGCGTCTCAAGCCATGCACTGGGCTCAATTGATTTGTTCTGTTGTTCGTCTCCAGAGCGTCATAAGCAGGGGCCCAGACTTGGAGCCTGCCAGATATTCAGTACAGATATCTGTCCTAGAGCCCTCATCGGCCCCTGTGCTGTGATCTTTTATGGATGTGAGCATCTCTCTTGTTCTCTTTTCCAGAAAAGCAGCTGACTGCAGCAAACTGCCTGGGGGTTCTGGCTATGGCGGAGGCCATGTGCTGCACGGAGCTACACAATATGGCCAAAGCCTTCGCACTGCAGAACTTCCCTGATGTGGCAGGACAAGATGAGATCCTCAGCATCTCCAAAGAAGACCTGATCAACTATCTGTCCAACGACAGCCTGAACACCAAGGCAGAGGAGCTGGTTTATGAGACTGTCATCAAATGGATCAAGAAGGACCCCATCAACAGAGTACAGGTGAGAAGTGCATTCGCCGCATGAAACATATGCCAGAGTAATGGGTGGTTCATTTGGCCTAATCAGGGACCAAGCTCAAGGGAAGTGAGTTATAATTTCTTTCTTTCTTTTGGAGCATTTCTGAATAAATAACCTGTTTCTTTTGTTAATAAATCAAAAACATCAGTGCAATCAGTTTAATCCTGCTCACAAATAAATGATTCTTATGTGAATCGGACAATATGTGGACCATGTTACTGTACAACTCCTTTATGTTCTCCGATTTTTCTTTAGTGTATCAATAACAAACAGTTTGTTAAGTTTTTGAACAAATGATTCTTATGAACCGATTCATTCTAGTGAATAACTCAGATGCTTACAGAGTTTGAGGTGTTGTGGTGTTATCAAACAAATGACCCGTGTGTGCTTATTGTTGTACAGTGAATCAAAAACATAAAGCAGTTCAGTTCCTTAAAAAAGATTCTTATGTATTGAATCTTTGTAGTGAATCAGTCAACTTACAGTTGCCAGTGTAGTGTGATTAACAAGCAAATGACTCTCCTTAGCTGATGTTTTTTAGTGATTGAAAAACATGCAGCATAACTTTTGTCATCTAATTCTTGAGTCAAGGATTCTAATAAGCTCATTCTTTTAGTGAATCACACAAAAGCAAAAGTGGGAGTTCTCATTTGATTGCCAAACAAATGACTCTGTTTTGAGCCAATTCCTGTATTGTGTATCACAACACAGAGAACAACCCGTTTAGTTCAGTTCGTGAACAAAAAGTCTTATGAAGTGATTCTTTTTAGTGGATCATGCAGAGACTTTTATAAGCTGATTCTTTAGTGAATCAAAAGCATAAAGCACATCAGTTGAGTACAGTTCCTCAGTAAATGATTCTATTGAACTGAATATTTGTAGTGATGTGAATCCTTCTAAACGTATAGTTGTCAGTGTCATGTGATAAGCCAGGGCCGGAGTGGGACTCATTTTCAGCCCTGGAATTTCAAGCCAGACCGGCCCACCTCAGTTCACATCTGATTCCAATTCAGTTTCTAATTTCACTATCACGTCTTTTTCAAGAAAACAGCTGCTTTAGAAATTCAAATGTTCAACAACCCTAACAGTATTATATATTTTTACAATAAAAATGAAAAAAAATGCAATAATAATTTTACGGGTGAGGCTGGAACACAGGTCTGCGGCGTTGAAATGCAACGTGTTTACCACTGGACCACAATGGCACAATAACTGTGGCAATAAAAAATAAGTAATGACTTGTGACCCTTAAGACACAGCACTACTTTCTTTTTATGGCTCAATCTTTTTCTCCCCTTTTTAGATTTCTGATCAAGTTATGTCAGATTTATTAATGTAGCGAATCATTTGATTTTCATTGAGCAGGTGCATTATTCATTAATATCAATCATTCGAATTCTTAAATTCACTAAGGTGCCGCTGTTTGGGGTCGATAGTTACATTACATCATTATCATTAACGTTAGTTAACCTGCAGGCTGCATTTTGCTCACGGGGCTGCGAGAAAATAAATAAAAAGAGCGGCGCTGCGGCAAAATAATGAATAAAAAGAGTAAAGCTATGATCAAATAAACAAATAGATGAAAAAAGTGTGACTGCTGAGAGAGTGCAAGCAGGTAGGGACACTGGCCCTCGTGGCCAAAAAAACAGACCGACCCCCCGAGAATTCTCCCGGTTCTCCCGATTAGCCAATCCGAGCCTGTGATGAGCAAACAAATCAACATTATTATGTAGGCAGAAGTACGTATGGCTGCATTTTGTCCTTAAAACGATCGCTATAGGGCAGTATGATGCCGTTCCTGTTCGCGCTTACCAGCTGACTGCTTACCTACGTATGGACAGCTTTCCTGCTGTTTGTCCAGTAACTCGCCTTGCACGTTGGCAGACTTGAGATGCAGAGAGGAGTTGACCATGATGACGGGGTGCGAGTCCAGTGAAGAGCAGTTCCAGAAAGCGAGTAAGAAAAAAAAGAAGCCAAAAAATAAAAACAAGTAAATAACAGGGTGAGAATGTGTTGATATCTGAAAACGTGGTAAAAATCAGGCGATGACTTTTCATTTCTGGATTGCTTTTTAAAACGGTCAGCTGGGTTTAGGGCAATGGTTGGGCGGGTCAATCTGTGCTTTTGAAAACACTATCAGTTGGGTTTAGGGAAGGAGGAGGGTGGTCAATTGGTCAGTCAGTCAGTTGACAGCGGCCTCTGGTGGATTTGGGTGAAAACAGCAGACGTGAATGACACTTGTGAGAGAAATTTGACATCTGAAAAAGCATGCACAGCGGCCTTTGGTGCATTCATGAAAACAAAAACTGCAAAAAAAAGCATAGCTCTTGGGTCGTATTTGCCGCTCTCCAAAAATGTAGAAAGCGGTAAGTAGTAAGAATGAGCCTGAGTTAAAACAAATGGCTCTTTTGAGCTTATTCTTTTATTGTGAATCAAAACCATACTACACAATCAATGTGGTCCAGTTTAACAAATGATTCTTATGAGGTGAAAAACAGCATAATCAATGTAGTCGGATTCATGATTGAATAACTCTACAGTGATTCTTTGTAGTGAATCCATTCTCTGAAGTAATGATTCCTATAAATGATTCTTTTCACTTCCTTTTGTGAACATATTTTTAATTATCAAAAAGTATTCAATTCAATTCAAATAGAAGTTCTAGTAAACTGAAACTGTGTTAGTCCGGATTTCAGAGTTAAATGGGTTGTTTTTACTGAGTAGTACAGTATGGAATGGGTCGAGACGGGTCACCTTTATCAGGCTTGAGTTTATCAGCCAAAAGGGTACCAATGGTGGGCGTGGTGTACGGCAGAAAGTTTCAGTTGATGTCATTCTCGCTGGAGGAAATGTCTACAGTAAAGCCGTACGGGTCGTTCGCATATCATATAAGAAGCACTTCTCACAAAACAGATGCTTTTTACACGTAAATACTTGTGTATACATGTTCATTAGTAACCTTTTTATGAACATGATTTGATTATAACTGCAGATCAATGATGATGTGAAATAGCCTACTGTAACGTCTGCGATTAAATAAAATAAATAAACGATTGCAGCATATTTGAATATTTGAGTCCTTATTTGGGTTCAAAAACAACACGAAACATATAGCCTACAGCGAGTGCAAACCTCTCATCTGTATCTTTAATCTTCACCAGCACATGTAACCTCTGTTAGAAAGTAACTCCGTCATTCCGTGTTCATAATAGTTCAAAAGGTGATGATAATAGTTGAACGTGCCAGTTTGTTCATGTTTTAGGTTGCTAAAACAATCATTTGCTCCTTTGTTTTGTTGGGCTTCTCCTATGTTTTTTGGAACTTCACTCTCGTGTTTGTTCGTTTCTGAAAGGATCGGCTGTCAAAAGAACTTCAATAATCATGCACACGTTATTATTATCTGCTCGAGAAGTTCGTTATTTAAAATATAGTGCGCACACGAGTGCAAGCGAGAACGCGAAACTGCTTGCATTTTAGACTGCCTTGTAGACAACTACGGGCCACAGGATAGTTCTGCTCTTCTTCTTTGCTTTGTGGCTGTTCATCAAGACGACAACATGATTTGCATAAGGTCGGGTTGACCATGGTTCGTTATTATTTATATATAATATTACGGTGTAATGTCTTGGCTGTATTTTTAAAAACGTCGATTACTTTGTTCTCCTGGCTTGTTGCACGAATGAGTGACGCATCTCTGTAAACCAATAGCGTTCAGCTGTGTGTCTCCTGCGTGTACCCTTTTGTTGTGATATGTACCCTCCTGAAAGGGTACCCAAAAAGTTGTACGGTATGGTTCACTTTTAGGTACCAGTGGAAACGGCCATGAAAGGGAACTGAACTGAACCGTACCGTACTGTACCGTACCACTCAGTGGAAACAGGCCAAAAGTTCCCTGCTGAAAGTCCAAACACTGAAGAGTAAATCCATCGATGCTGTGCTCCACAAGTCCCAAACCAAGCAAGCCATGGTGCAGAACAAAACTTGCCCAATTACAAAGTGAAGGGAAAAAAACCTTGAGAGAAACCAGTGTCAGTTGGGCACGACTAGGGGTATGCAAGTTATTTAAAGTTAAGGGTGTCACGATCCTCCAAATCCACGATTCGATTACATTTTCGATTCTAAAGGCACGATTTCAATTCGATTTTCGATTATGAATAATTAATTAATGACCAATTAATTATTTGTAGCCTACCATTTAAACTACCTGACCTGCATGGTCTTTGTTTTACCCATAAACAAATTATACATTAAATGAATAAAGGCAAGATACACACATAATTACCACCTGTCAATCACTTTTTCTGCAAGACTCGTGAATAGGCAGTGATTTGTGTCGTTATAATGGCGTCGGTAAAAAAAGACGCACAACCAACAGGAACCAGCCAACAGTATCTGAGGTGTTCGCTAAAATGACTAAGTACAAGTGAGTGAAAGATTGAAGCAGTCCTCTGACTGCCTGGACCCGCTGTGTGCGCGTCTGTGTCTGTGTGGTCACGTGATGTGCATTTTCAGAGGTAGAGGAAGGAGGGCTGCTCAGTAATGCTACACGCCACTGTGGATCTCAAATCGTTGTCGTTCTAAAATGCCATATAAAAACAAAGACAGTGTAAATAGGGGCTGAGTGTGTACTTTTCGCGAGCGGATTTGCAACGGGGATGAGCGAAGGATCGCGATGCCGGTGTTGTCTATCGGACGAACCGTACGTAATACGTACATAGCAGAGCTTGCAAAACTGTGTTTTTTTTTTTATCGACAACACGAACGTTGTCAACATAACTCACTGGAAATTCAAAATGCTTAAACACGGGTGACTTCATTGAAAGAGGAGAGGGTTTAAGCTATGTCGACGGTTCTCCTGCTTCTGCACAGTTTAACAAGCACTTCAACAAGCCTGTTTTTTTCCCGCTTGGCAAGCCAAGCTGACGTGACATGGTGGCGTGGCAGCATCGACGATTCTATTTTTTGATTCGATAATCGAAATT